TATATCTATACGTACTGAGACACATATACCATGCATATGAGCTTATCTTTCCGTCCATCATTACAGCCTTTTAAACAGTTATACAGTATAAAAAAAAAATGCTTAAAGGCGGATGTATATGCAGATAGTGATGCAGAGATTTTAGCAGTTTGTTATAAAAGAGGAAAATATATTTTACGACTGTTCCTTTCAAACCGGTAATGAAAAGCATACTGTTTTGAAGAGGAGCAAGTATATGAAGAAATTAAAACAAAATGACGACTGATTCAATGCACACACGCACACACATATATGTGTGTGCATATACATATGTAAGTACATACACACACACAAACATGTGTGCATATACATATGTAAGTACACACACACGCATACGCACGCACACACACACGCACGCACACACACACACAAACATACATGCACGAACACACACACACAAGCACACAAACACACACACACACACACATACTAGCACAGATACACACGTGTGTGAGTGTGTGTGTGTGTGTGTGTATATATATATGTATTTACACACACACACACACACACACACACACACACACACACACACACACACATATATATATATATATATATATATATATATATATATATGCATATATATATATATATATATATATATATATATATATATATATATATATATATATATTACTTCACACACACGCGCATAAGTAAATATAAGGAGCATATAACCATTTATATTATATATTATTATATTTTACATATTATATTAAATACACACACACATGTGTGTATATATATATGTATATATGTGTGTGTGTATGTGTGATATATATATATATTTATATATATATATATATATATATATATATATATATATATATATATATATATATATTCAATTGCAGTATATCCATAAATGCAATACTCACAACGTACAGAATCAGCCGAGTGTGATTTTACCATAAGCTACTTTAAGATAGTATTAACATCAGACATGGTAAGTTGGCAAAGATCAGAAGAGACGTAAATCGGTATACATGAGACTCTTTATTGAAACTTACACTGTACGTAAGCTGTCTTTTACCCTTTCTCAACCTTTTCTTCTCCTGATAATTGAGATTGGACACCAAATTTACATTCGCTTCTAAAATACATGCATTCCCATTAATGAAGTAGACTGGGCAAGAGAGAGTGGAGAATGAATCATAGGTCTAGAATTTATTTATTTATTTTTTTTTATTTTTTTTTTTTTTTTTTTTTTTTTTTTTTTGATCAGTGTGGAAAAAATAACATAAGAGGTACGAAAGCGATATGGACTGCTGGAGTGTTGGGATACACGTGAAAACAAATCTGTATAAATATACGTTAATTAAATACTGCGGAGCTAGTAACATACAAAAGACAATAAAAACTGATCCTGCCCTTTCTCCTAATACATTTGAGGTCTGGTTAATAAAGGCAATTCATTTACCTATTTACTTGAGGAGGGACTAAATACCCTTCCAGTACCCGGAAATTTGTCATTGTACCTAAACTTAGATTTCTTTCCCATTTTTTCTATGATTTACATGTTTATCATGAAAAAATGCAAAATATATAACTATAACAACTCATTTCTTCCTTGGAAAGATACTATAGTTACGACTGTATGGAAGAATTATACTTTAGCGACTCGGTTCTCTTGAGAAGTTTCAAGCACCAAGCGGTAAGAAACCTTAAAATGTTACACGATCGATAGCCATGAGTCCAGCGCAATCCTGTTTGACCAAATATAGCTGTAAATTTCTTAGTGACACTAATACCAGTTAAAGGAAGTCCACAGAGATAACATGAATCGGATTCAGATTTTTTTCAATAACAAAGGCTGAACTACATTTTTTTTTTTCTGGCAGTATACCGGCCCTGCCACATAGTGTAATTAGTGCCTATATGGAAGTACTGGGCTTTTTAATTATACACAATGCTTAGTGTAAAAACAGACAACTTAGTCTTAGATTGTTAGCGAAAAAATAGGTCGCCTAATACCTAGAAGTATTTTTCGCTTGATAAAGTATAACCATCCTATATCTGTGACCAGGCTTTTTCACTTTGGAAGGATTTATATAGTGAAATTTATAAAGAAATTTTAATTTGTCTCTTGGGATCATAAGGAACTAAACGCATCTGAACATATGCCCAAAGCTTTGCAACTTCATCAGAATGGTGATACATGTAGGCCTACTCATATTGCCAGAATCATGGGCGCATGAAAAATACACCAATCTACACATTCCATTGTGAAACTGCTGCGAAATTTGTCACCTGGTTGTTCAAGGAATGTAGTGGCTACATAATTGGCTGCAGTAAATTCATCACACCAACGGGGAGGCCTGATGTGAAGGATATCTCACTCGTCTTCGATCTATGTATTGTTATATATGTATACGTAAAGTGTAAAGCTGAATGATACTCAGGGGGTAGTGGTTCAAAAAGCTGCATAGACTAATCTCATTTATTAAAGAAATGAGACCATGAAATATTAGAATGATACAAAAGAAATATATGAAGTCCAATTCAGTGACATTCGGATATAGCAACTAGCACGCTCGAACAGGTAAACCTTGATGGTACTACCGAAAACACGTTCAGTACTAACAACTTTAAAATCACACATTTGGGAGATAATATCAGGCGACATTTATGTCAGTCCAAGTGGGAGAAGTATTCAACATTAATAATGCATGGGCCTCATTGATCAGCTAATAATAAAAACAAAATTCATATAATTTAGTGAAAATGTGCACTATATACTGACGTACTAAAAAAACTGGTCGATATCGCAAGTACGCAAGTTTTCGTTCACTATAGATAAAAAAATTAAGAGCACTCGTACAGTTTGCAGTTACCTTTGAAGCAAAATTAAAGATTACATGACATTAATCATCATATAGCATTGCTAAAAAAGTGACTTTTTTATAGATCCCCTTCATACAGCAGGAAAAGGAAACATCCCAGTGCACGAAATGCCGATAATTTAAGCATGAGAGAAATAGAATGCAAGAACAATCATTTAATGACATTAACAAATCATAAATGATGATTCCTCAATCTTCCCTGTGTGCAGTGAAGGCCGAGAGGGGGGAGGAAGAAAGAGATGCCAGGGTACATGCAAAATCAGCTGCTCGTGGGAACAATAAGAAGCCCGGGAAAGATAATATTACCCCGCTCTCCATGCTCTTAGCTGAGACAAAACGATTCTCTTGGTAATGAGAGAGACTTTAAACTTACTTTTCAAGGGCTATTTCAGCCAGGTCCAAACAAGCGCACAGTTGTTTAGCGTATAGAACTAGGAGCAGGTTCGACCACCCATTTTGTGAAGACGTCATCCGGTGTGAGGGGTGATCCACCATGGCGTAATAGGATGTCATGCCAATGTGAGTGGGTTAATATATACATTGTATAGGCACAGGACCTATGGCTAAATGGCTCACATAATAAACCACTGAATACCTATTTCCACAGAGAGAGAGAGAGAGAGAAATGATAAAAAAAGGAGCTGAGATGGAAAATATACAAGTCTACCATAGACTGTGCTAGATATCAGACACATTTCCTGTTAGGATAAGCGATATCAAATAACTATTACACACACACACACACACACACACACACACACACACACACACACACACACACACATATATATATATATATATATATATATATATATATATATATATATATGTGTGTGTGTGTGTGTATATATATATATATATATATATATATATATATATATATATATATATATACATATATTTTATGCATATGTTATATGTATATGAGTGTGTGTGTGTGTGTGTATATATATATATATATATATATATATATATATATATATATATATATATATATATATATTATGCATATGTACATAGATGCAGAGAAGAGAGACTGAGACAGACAGACAGGCACACAGAGAGAGGAAGTGACAAAGTGCTAGTATCATTTAGAAATGTTTTATTAAATTGACTGGTAATGGTCATAGTGGCGCTTTATTTCACAATAAAATGGTTTACCCTTTTAACATGGTGTATTCAAAGAAAACTTTGTTTTAAGCTAAACTAAACTAAAACTTAATCTTATCAGTTTTTGTTTTTATTTTGCTCAAGATGTACCTCATCGTGAACTACTAAGTTGGCTGGGTGGTTCTAGTTATACAACGAATACAATAAAAATATCGTATGCACTATCGACATATACTGAGTAGAATATAAACTAAAAGGCTCAGTACATCCAAACACATTCCAACATCCACCCCACAGACATTTCTGTATACCAGCAAGGTTTTTAAAAATCGTTAGTTGTTATGTTCACGTTTAGAATCTCCCATTTTTACATCTAAGTCTGGATCGGTGTGGTTGTCTATGTCAGTAGACTAGTATACTATATATATGAATAGCACCTAACACCGAAAATGAAGAATCTAACCTCTCCATTCTATATAACATATCATTCTAAGACATTTTCTTCATTTTCTTCGGCAACTAATAAAAAGGTTGAAGAGAAGATTTAAAACAAAATTTCCAGGCTCTCATTATGCACCATCAATGTGCATCACCAACACGTAGTTGCCATGGCTCTGTCGGTGGGTAGGGGGTAGCAGCCTAGCTAATTACTAAAAGTGTGCATCGCAATAATAATTACATGATACTTATCATGCCCTTCCCAACTATCAGGGTTTATAATCGAGCTGTGCTTTGTTTGAGACGGGAATGAGTGCAAGATTCGTTTGAAAGACGATGAGAGCTCTCAGAAAAACAACCTTGACCAGGAAATCGGTGTTAGGCGTCATTATTTATCGAATAAAATTATCCTTTTGCTCTATACTGTGTTAGCTAGCCTAGCAGTCCGAACTACATGGGTCTGTGAGAGTGTACTAACCTCTATTTATGGTATCATTTAGTTTCTTTCGCACTGTTTCACCAGCCTCTTAATATGAATCATAATCTTTAGAAGAAAATTAAACTCAGTAGTCAGTCTTTGCTTTCTTTAAGTTCATGCAAATACATATAACGCAACGCCGGAAACACAGACTCATATGTCTCACCCCTTTTAGTCACCGATAAGATTAAATAATGTACGTACATACACATAAATCTTGCAGCTTGTTCGGTTGCACTGGTGTAGACGGTAACTGGAATCAAAGTGGATGTCTCTTAGTAAGTGCCAGATGAGGAAGCCCAGAATGTACTCCAGTACAGTTTGGGCTAGTCTAGAATAATTGCCGTAGAATAATTAGGCCTTTATACCTGCTAATCCAACTTGTCCATCGAGGCCAGAATTTCAGTTTATTTCAGTGGCTAACCTATCCAGCAAGGTTCGAACATAATGCCAGCTCGAAACATGCCGTATTTTTTAAGAACATCTGAACACTTCAGTGTGGTTTTGAATGTTTGAATATTCACTTGCTGGTACAAAACATTTCTGATTAACAATACTACAAATTATACCGCATTCATATTTCCGTAACCAATTCCCACCTCCATTCCACTGTAATGAGAAACTTTATTATTGTAAGGAAAATGTGTACAAATTTTAGATAGTGTAACGGGAAAGAAAATACCTACATTTTCGTTCGTGCTCGCATTGCTCTTCCTTTTCGGCCTTCGGCTGTGGTGCCAGGAATCATCCTGAATTATTGAAGATTTGAAATTTGTTCGGAAATCCCTATGTTATGGGAGCACGTCAGTAGCAGTTTTCTTTCGGCGTTCATAGAGAACTGAACGAGCAGCCTATGTCAGTATCCAGAGCTTTGGAGGGGGAGCTTGTTTTCTTTTTCTTTTTTTTTCATAAGTTGACTCCCCCATTTGTTTGCATGAATAGTTCAGTTTCTTTTATGATGATTTATTATACAGTTACCTTATTTTACGTTCCTAATGGAGATTTAAGTTATTTTACGTATCGTGCAAACCGTTGTATCTGTTGAAAAAGAAGAAGCCCGGAGAACTTCCTCAACCTACCAGTTTCCAGCACGTTCTATCTTCCTTTAATCATAAGTGATTTGTATTGTGGTTAGATAAAATGGTAAGTGAAATTTTAAGAAGTAAGATTTATTGAAAATGGCTGTAGCCAATGTTTAAATAAAACGTCTTTTGTGTAAATAACCTGTTTCTCTCCCCTGTATCATATCACTGGGAACAGATGTGTAAAAACTGTAAGCTTTGACCCGAGTAAGTCCTGAGAGAATATTCCCAGGTGGTGGCAGCTACGAGAATTCAGGAATTGATTTTGATTCGTTTCGTATTTTCTCTGCAAATTCAGTTAAATGAATTTTGATGTTATCTATTTAGATTTTAATTCCAACATGTTTTAACCTTCTTTCTGAAATGCTAATGCTCTGAAATGATTTTATTTCTTACGTTCCCAATGTTTAACAGCGTCATGGGTGATAAAACTTGTATAGCTTATCAGAAGATAGATTTGAAATAAAGTAACAGACTGCCCCAAACTTGTTAATTATAATCCTGGCGTCAGATTGTCTACTTGATCTTATATTTGATATAGAAACCTTTTCTTTTTGCTCATAGAAAAAAAAATAGTCACAGCCAACGCTGCTGACAGCTACAAAAAACTAAAATATAGATTAATTAATTTACAGTGTCTTTGGGTTGTTCATTCAGACCTGGCATTGTTCATGTTGGCACAGACTGAGCATATGTCCTTCTTATGGCTATGTTCAATTGAAAATTTTACATTTACATTATATAGTTGGGGTTTTGCTAAAGAAGTTTATATATGATGCATTTATTCTATCAATAACATGGTATCACTTCATGAAGTTTCCATTATATAGTGAATCATTTTCCTCTCTCTTTTTATTGAAACAAAATCTTCCATTGTGAGTTGACATGACATTCACTGAAGCGAAAGAAAGAGAAAAGGACTTATGTAGGTAAGAGTTGTAATGAGTGACAAGCATATTAGTGTGATGATAGTGGGAGTAGTTTCTTTTCACACAGCTCTGAGGGTCCGACGTCCATTTCTTTAATTCTAGAGTGGATTCAGGATAATCTTGACTCCACCCTTGGCCTTAATGAGACCCAATCCTGGCTCCAACACCATTTCTTCGTGTCCTGGTGCATTGCGAAGCTCTGCCACAAGCAACAGTTTCGACAAGACTATCTTTGCTTCCATTAAGGCAAACCTCATGGCTGGAGAAATATAAGATTCCATTAAAATATAGTAACTCCTGTAAATGTCTTACATGTAAATCAGATTCTTTCTGTCCTCCACTTACACAGTTCAACATCTTAAGGGCTCACCAAGGCAGTTCCTGGGACCTATTCCAAAAGGCATGTGGGCGAAGTTCTTCATGCTTGTCTTGTTCTCGGGCAAAAAACGCTCCGGACGGAACTCATTAGGCTCGGGCCAGTACTTAGGGTCGTGGTGGATACTCCAGACAGGGCACTGTATTCTATCCCCAGCCTTGATCGTCAGGTCAGTGCCAGGAAGCCTGCGATGCCAAAGCATCAGTAAGCGTGATAACCTAACAGATCTTCATTGACATTAATTTGCAATCACTAACGATATCCCCAGACTATTCCAGGCTACTGACGCGTATCTCTGGAAACTATTACGCCACTATCTGCTTAGCTATATATATAAGAATACAATATAATTGCCATTCATTAATAACATTAATATCATTTTATCCGAAGCAAGCGGAATTCTGAAAAAAAAACTGTACATGGTATATGAAACTGTAAGCATGATATATATGGAAATGTCAGCATTTCAGTTTTAAGCATTTAAGTTACTTTCTGGTAGTACTAAAACATCCATGAAATCCTTAATTAGCTATAATTATTGAATGACAGTAAACTTTGATATGTTTATTCCTCTATAATGACATTACGTTAACTTGTATTTCACAGTAGTTATGGTATTCCTTCATGGTTATTAGCATTGCTACCTACCGATAGTCACGAGTGCACAGTCGTTCTATAAATGGTGCTGGAGGAAACAGGCGTAGTGTTTCTGTTGAATAAATTTATGTATATATATATATATATATATATATATATAGAGAGAGAGAGAGAGAGAGAGAGAGAGAGAGAGAGAGAGAGAAAGAGAGAGAGAGAGAGAGAGAGAGAGAGAGAGTAACAAACAGACAGAGACAGAGAACGGGGCAGGAACACATGCACGTACATGTGCACAGAAAAATAGAGAAAATGTGGTGAAGGGAGGTGATAATTCTGTGTTAATGTATATCATCACTGGTTATTATTTATAGTAAGGGGTGATTATATTCTTAATTTATTCCTTAATAAAAAAGGCTATAACTAACTCCAAGGGACCATTGTGAGTGCTACCTAATTTTCAAATATTTAAGATTTATTCATCAATTAATTTCAGTACATAAGTTATGGACATCTTGCATTTACTTCAAGCCAACTATCTGAAATATTTTAGTGCATTGTGAAATCCATATCTTCTTTAATCTGTATAGGAAGGAAAAGTTCAAAGTTACGTGTACTCATAGGACAGGGAAATATAGGACTCAAGACCCGGTAATAAACAAACAGAGGAACATGAAGAATAAGGTTGAATTAAGAACTTACCCATCAAGCATGCATCGAGATATTTAGCTTCCATGACCCCTTGGTAAGTAATATCACCTTCTTCATGAACCAAATCTTGGATCTCTTTACGGAGTTGTTCTTGTGCACTTGGATTCTTAGCCAACAGGAAGGCAGCAAAGCCCAGGGTAGTAGCTGTTGTTTCATAGCCAGCAACGAGGAACAGCAAGCACTGGGAGGCGATGGTGATATCATCCAGCACTGTTTGGGAGATGCAGACCATATTACTAGTACTGATATTATGGTGTAATAACATTGGATTCTGAAGATACATCTTGCAATATTTGGTGTGGAATTACAAAGTTATAACCTCAGTACTTACGATGTTTTGACTTGGTAGTACTATCAATCCCCTTTACTTTGCCGTCAGGACTGCGAACTTCCAAGAGTAAGTCAAGGAAATCCCCACGTCTTTCCCCTTTCATTCTTTCCTTTATTGTGTGTGTTACAACTTCCTCCAGGAAATAAGCTTCAGGATTAGTGAACTGGATGTTGAGCATCTTTGCAAGTGTAGGTAACGTAGTCATCATTATGAATTTTATTATATTGAAATGAGTTGTTTCGAAAAATTTCTCAGCTCTGTTGGGGAACTCGGCGCGTTCATCCACGAATGAATTACACTCGATGCCAAAAGCACAAGAGGCAATCGTGTCTATGGTAAAGCGACCAAAATTGTATTTCATGTCAACATAAGGTTTCCTTCGCGATTCACTGAGAGAGAAAGCAACGAGGGCGTCGGCCTTGTCACACACAAGAGGAAACATTCCCTTCATTTTGCCTGAGGAAAAGGTCGGGCTCATGATGGCCCTCAGCTGTTTCCATTCTTCACCTTTCTTTAATGACAACATTTGTGCTGTTATCTTGTCTTTTTCGTGTGATAAAGCTAAATTCATTCTGTCGACGAAGTGGTCAAAGTCCTTCACGAAGATATGTTTGATGAGGTCGGGATCACCCACCAACAGGACCGGAGTAAAGAATTCATACAGTCCACAAAACTTTGATCCGCCATATTTGTGATAAGCCTGCAAGGAGTTTAAGAAAAAAATATTCACGTTGATAAACTAGAGAATACAATTTATATATCCATGCCTTATACACTATCCTCACCCTTCAAGCATGTAAATTACACTATAGGTAGCGATTTTCAGCAAGTTACTAAATTTGTCTATCGCATCATTAAAGTTATAAGTAAACACCATTCGATTTTTATTAAAAAGTATTAAATACGTGTTTAAAGGCTCTGTAACTATATTCTAAATACATTAGTCATGTATAGCAAAACAGAATACAGTACGCACTTATATATATGTGCGTGTGTGTATAATGATCTGTGATGTAGTACCTCATAGATTTGATGAAAAGAATATGCATGCCAGAATATAAATATTTCCTTATTTGAGCTGAGGCAACTGTCAACTAAAAACAACATCCACTTCTTGTTCTTTAATATCAATGTATTGTTATCAATACATTACGATAAGTTATTATTGTTTTCGTTCTTAGATTTTAAAAAGATACAGCGAATCTACTTCTAAATATTACGTCAATCATACGTTTTCTTCCATTTTCCCCTTCTTCTTTTCCTAAAATCTCTCGACACACTAATGGACCCTTTGCTGAAACCTAGCTCGTTAAGAAGTGAATTGGCATTCTGATGAACCTAGAAGAATATAAAGAACATTTACCACTGAATCATACTCCCATTTCCCTTTCTTTGAGAGCGCGTGATGTATGTGACCCAAGATGGGTACGTAGGGCGGCGTTTGCACACCCCGCGATGCCCAGTAGCTATGGCGCCATTTCGAATACGCCCAAAGCGCAGCCACTGCCACGCACACCAACGCCAGCGTCACGAGGCTCATCCTGTGTTGGTGCTTCTGTTTTTCAGCCATGAAATGAAAACCAGTAGAATTTAGTTATTCTTATATCGTTCTTTATACTAATTTCATGTGATAGAAGAAGCTCATCATCTTTATGCTGAACAATTTAAGATTCAACTTTATAATGTGATTTGAGGAAAACCTGAGTGGCCATTCATCTTGATTTTTGAAAAATAAAGTATCACTCATGTAACAAAAAAAAAAAGAAACTATTCTGAAAATAAGTTTTTGCTTCGAAACAATAACTACGAGGGGCATACTTAATCTGTAACGAGTACTACCCTGCCTGCATGAACAGTAGCCCTTAATGCGTAGTACAATATTTTATGTGCACGTAGACACAAGCTTTAATTAATCACATGTATTATAACTTTGTTCTAATATGCGGTACTCTTTTTCGAGTCTTCAACTTACCCAAAGGAGGAAATGGGCACAGACTAGCCTTCAAAGGAAAATACAGAGAAATATATTGCTATCTAAGATGCGTTTGGCTGCATCATATCGCGTTGATAGTGTAATCTAGGGCTTATATATTTATTTTAAAATGATAACCCTCTGCCACTTGTATATAAGTATATGTATAAGTTCTTGCATCCTATCTAACCTTAACTGTAACACTTTCATCTCTCCTACATTCCAAATTACGTGTTTGTGTGGTGTATGTGTGCGTGCATGCGTGTACGTGTGTTTAGACAGATACCTAAACTGAGAAAATGAATAAAAATATACACACAGGCGCGTAAATGCTCTCTTCCAAACACTGAGTTCCTCTCATACTTTCAGAGGATGATGTAATAAGAGAAAGCTTCCCGTGGAGTAATACACCTAGATATATACTCATAACTTTACCTTAGGCTGTGGCTTTAGGGAAACGCGTGGAGTCTTTGCCTCAGTATCTGGCTCAGGACTGAAGTCAACCTGTGATAATATACTGCAATTTTAGCCAGTCATGTTGAATTGCATTTCTGTTATCGGCTATAAATAAACCTCAAATGGCTATTTACTATGCAATTTGTTTTATTATGCTTTGTGTATTTCATTCAGTATATTCTAATTCATATGCAACGTTTTCTTTTAAATGTTGTGATTGTAGAGCCTCTCATGGACTCTTCTTTTAAAGTGCAGTGATAAGTCAAGACATACATACACATATGTATATATGTATATATATATATATATATATATATATATATATATATATATATATATATATATACATATACGTGTGTGTGTATGAATGTGTGTTTGTATATATATATGAATGTGTATATATATGAATATATATATATATTATATATATGTATATATATATATATACATATACGTGTGTGTGTATGAATGTGTGTTTGTATATATATATGAATGTGTATATATATGAACATATATATATATTATATATATATATATATATATATATATATATATATATATATATATATATGAATATATATACATATATATTTATTCATTTGTTTCGATTTTCTTTTTTCATAAGTATTATCTAATTTTCATATGGGTGAAAAGGATTATTCACTATCATTTTAAGGTTATCGGGAACGGGAGACGCGTAAAAATTAAATGAGAGACCGCAGTTGTATCCCTCTCCTATTCAGGTTCTAAAGCTATAACTGTAAAATAAAGTCGCCACTGTGTCTACAGGATCCTCAGATTAGTAACACAAAGGGTAGATTAACAGAGATGTGTCTTATGAATAAAAATGCCTTGCTACGAAGCTGAAAGAAATATAACTTTTTTCCCCAAATCTAAATAGTCTTTTAATATCAATGTTGCACATGTATTTACGGTGTACATATACGTGTATGCACGCACACACATATACATATTTGCACAAAATATGTACACAGATAGAAAGAGGGAGGGAGAGAAGGGGGATGGGATCCCAGAGAATAAAGGTTGGAGAGACAAAGAGAAAAAATAGTAAAGACAGATAGAAAGAAAGTGGGACAATGGAAAATAAAGACAAAAGATCAATCAATATAGATAAGTACTTTGACCTGAAGACGAAAGTACTTGTACTGTGGCAGTTAAACTGCTTGTCAAAAATGTTTCAAATTCCGTTTTGAACAACAATTTTTGTTTAGGTTCGAAGCGTTTCGAAGCCTCGTTCACAACAGTACTTTAGGCTTTATCTGTACAGTCTGTGCTACGTGCGTTCATCTTGCTGTTGTAGGTGGTGGTGATCCTTGGTTTTGTTATAAGGTGGTGGTAGTAGTGGCCTCTTGGTGTTGAACTCGTTGTCTGTAGTGTTTTGTAACCTTGGTGTTGATGCTGGTCGTGATGACTTGATCTTGTTGATGTAGGCAGTAGTGGTGGTAATGAGGATGATGTTCTTGGTAGTGGTGGTCATGATGTTCATCTTATTCCTGTTGTTAGTACTAGTGGTGGTTCTTGGTGGTGGCAATGGCGTGGGCGTTGATTTTATGGTTTGTGTTGACAATAATAAGGCATGAACGTAAAGGGTTTATCCGGTAAAGAAAATACAAATGACTCAGCAATGTTATTAGGCTCAGCAGCATATTTTTTTCTGAAAGGAAGTGCCTTTTCAAAATTATCTCTAACAGGAAAAGTCCGATACACATTATGCAGTGATACGGTTTTGAATAATCTTCTTTATAATGAATACAACTGTTTTCTTATACATTTTTTTATTGTTTTCTTATTTGTCTATTCCATTCCTACAGAAGTAATCAGCCTAGAGTACCAGCAACTGATCATGAACCACTAAATGAACCAGTTCCTTCAGATGAACCCAGACTCCCACTTACCGACCCACTAACTGACCCAGATCCTGTTCCCACTTCACTCCCTGCTCCAGAACCGGTCCATGAACCGCTAATTGATCCAGAACCTGATTCCGACCCGTTTTCAGAGGCAGAATTGATTAATGAACCTCTTATCGAACACGAACCGGATCCTAAGTTATTTCCAGAATCAGAGCCACTCCAAGAAACGCTTATTGAAGCAGAGCCAGTTTCTGAACAACTCCCAGACGTAGAACCACTCAAGGAACCACTCCATGAACCGCTTCCTGAGGCCAATTCTCCCAGGTTCGCAAGGTTGCACAGTGGACATAACTTGAACCTCAGGCTCTCGGTTCCACGGGTTTGTTGGAAGTAGAACCACCTTTATTTCCAATCCCTGGTTTGTTGGACGTATAACCGCCATTGTTTCCAGAACCTGGTTTGTTGGAAAAAGAATCGCCGTCACTTCCAGAGTCAGGTTTGTTAGAAGTCGAATCTCTGGAATTAGAACCCTGATCCACTCGCAGAACCACTCCAAGAACCGCTTGCTGAACCGCTACTTGATCCCGAACTGCTGAAGGAGCCACTCAAGGACCCAGAAGCTGACCCTGATCCTCCGTGGCTGTGTCCGTCTCTAGGGAAGTGTCCAGGGCTGGCGTTGGCCGCTCCTGCCGCGTGTGTGTGTATTTATACATATATATCTATATTTATATATATACATGTATTTATATACACATATATCCTTATATATATATATATGTATATATATATATATATATATATATATATATATATATATATATATATGTATGTATATATAGTTGGGGTTTTAGTAAAAAATTTATATATATATAATATATATATATATATATATTATATATATATATATAATATATATATATATATATATAATATATATATATATATATTATATATATATATATATTATATATATATATATTATATATATATATATATTATATATATATATATTATATATATATATATATATATAATATATATATATATATTATATATATATATATAATATATATATATATAATATATATATATATAATATATATATATATAATATATATATATATATTATATATATATATATTATATATATATATATAATATATATATATATAATATATATATATATATATATTATATATATATATATTATATATATATATATATAATATATATATATATAATATATATATATATAATATATATATATATATAATATATATATATATATATTATATATATATATATATTATATATATATATATATAATATATATATATATATATATAATATATATATATATATATGATGCATTTATTCTAGTTTATTACTAATAACATGACATCACTTCATGAAGTGTCCATTATACAATTTTCTTCTCTCTCTTTTTTAAAGAAAAAATCTTCCACTGTGAGTTGACATGGCATTCAACCAAGCGAAAGGAAGGGAAAAATACCTATGTAGGTAAGAGTAGTAATTGATGACAAGCACATTAGTGTGATGACAGTGAGAGTAGTTTCTTTTCACACAGCTCTGAGGGTCCGACGTCCATTTCTTTAATTCTAGAGTGGATTCAGGATAACCTTGACTCCACCCTTGGCCTTAATGAGACCCAATCCTGGCTCCAACACCATTTCTTCGTGTCCTGGTGCATTGCGCAGCTCTGCCACAAGCAACAGTTTCGACAAGACAATCTTTGCTTCCATTAAGGCAAACCTCATGGCTGGGGAAATATAAGATTCCATTAAAACATAGTAACTCCTGTAAATGTCTTACATGTAAATCAGATTCTTTCTGTCCTCCACTTACACAGTTCAAGATCTTAAGGGCTCACCAAGGCAGTTCCTGGGACCTATTCCAAAAGGCATGTGGGCGAAGTTCTTCATGCTCGTCTTGTTCTCGGGCAAAAACCGCTCCGGACGGAACTCATTAGGCTCGGGCCAGTACTTAGGGTCGTGGTGGATACTCCAGACAGGGCACTGTATTCTATCCCCAGCCTTGATCGTCAGGTCAGTGCCAGGAAGCCTGCGATGCCAAATCATCAGTAAGCGTGTGAAAATTAATGCCAGAGGTAACCTTGCAACAGATCTTCATTACCATTAATATGCAATCACTAACGGTATTCCCAGACTATTCCAGAAACTCATGGGCCACTGACGCGTTTTTCTAGAAACTATTACGCCACTTTCTGCTCAGCTATATACATAAGAATACAATACAATTGTCATTAATTAACAACATTAATATCATTTTATCCGAAGATAGTCAAATTCTGAAGAAAAAAAATAATTGTACATGATTTATGGAACTGTAAGCATGATTTATGCAGAAATGTCAGCATTTCAGTTTTAAACATTGAAGTTACTTTCTGGTAGTACCAAAACATCCATGAAATCCCTAATTAGCTATAACTATTGAATAACAGTAAACTTTGATATGTTTATTCGCCCATAAAGACATTACGTTAACTTGTTTTTCACAGTAATTATGATATTTCTATATGGTTATTAGTATTGCTACCAACCGATAGTCACGTGTGCACAGTCGTTCTATAAGTGGTGCTGGAGGAAACAGGCGTAGTGTTTCTGTTGAATACATGTTTATATGTATATTCATGTATATATATGTATATATGGAAAGAGAGAGAGGGACAGGGACAGAGACAGAACGGGACAGGGACGGGGGCAAAGGCACGCACAGAAAAACAGAGAAAATGAAAGGAAGGAGATAATTATATGTTAATGTATATCATCATTGGTTATTATTTATAATAAGGGGCGATTACCTATTTATTTTATTCTTTAATAAAAAATGTCGGTGTAAAGCTTCATGCCTCAACACTAACTTCAAGGGGTCATTGTGAGTGCTACGTAATTTTCAAATATTTAAGACATTCATCAGTTAATTTCAATACATAAATTATGAACGCATTCCAAAAACTTATTTATTTCTCAAGTATGATCACTCTTGCATTTACTCCATGCCAACCATTTGAAATATTTCGTTATATTGCAAAATCCATATCTTCTTTAAGCTGTATAAGAAGGAAAAGTACCCATAGGATAGGGAAATATAGGACTCAAATCCCGGTAATAAACAAACTGAAAACTAGCAAATATTTTCACTTTATAATAACTGTATATAGCCACAATTTAGCAATTTGTTATACACATTATATATATTCACTATTAAAGGAATATGTAGAGTTAAGTTGAATGTAAGAACTTACCCATCAAGCATGCATCGAGATATTTAGCTTCCATGACCCCTTGGTAAGTAATATCACCTTCTTCATGAACCAAATTTTGGATCTCTTTACGGAGTTGTTCTTGTGCACTTGGATTCTTAGCCAACAGGAAGGCAGCAAAGCCCATGGCAGTAGCTGTTGTTTCATAGCCAGCAACGAGGAACAGCAAGCACTGGGAGGCAATGGTGATATCATCCAGCACTGGGAGATCCAGATCAGATTACTAATACTGATATTATGGTGTAATAACGTTTTATTTTAAAGATACATCCTGCAATATTTGGTGTGGAAATACTTACGCTGTTTTGACTTTGTAGTACTATCAATCCCCTTTTCTTCGCCGTCAGGACTGCGAACTTCCAAGAGTAAGTCAAGGAAATCCCCACGTCTTTCCCCTTTCATTCTTTCCTTTATTGTGTGTGTTACAACTTCCTCCAGGAAATAAGCTTCAGGATTAGTGAACCGGATGTTGAGCATCTTTGCAAGTGTAGGTAACGTAGTCATCATTATGAGTCTTATATTGAAATTAGTTCCGAAAAATTTTTCAGCTCTGTTGGGAAACTCGGCGCGTTCATCCACGAATGAATTACACTCGATGCCAAAAGCACAAGAGGCAATCGTGTCTATGGTAAAGCGACCAAAATTGTATTTCATGTCAACATAAGGTTTCCTTCGCGATTCACTGAGAGAGAAAGCAACGAGGGCGTCGGCCTTGTCACACACAAGAGGAAACATTCCCTTCATTTTGCCTGAGGAAAAGGTCGGGCTCATGATAGCCCTCAGCTGTTTCCATTCTTCGCCTTTCTTAAATGATAACATTTGTGCTGTTATCTTGTCTTTGTCGTGTGGAAAAGTTAAATTCATTCTGTCGACGAAGTGGTCAAAGTCCTTCACGAAGATATGTTTGATGAGGTCGGGATCACCCACCAACAGGACCGGAGTAAAGAATTCATACAGTCCACAAAACTTCGATCCGCCATATTTGTGATAAGCCTGCAAGGAGTTTAAGACAGAATATTCACGTTGATAAACAAGAGAGTACAATTTATATACCCATGCCTTATACACTATCCTCATCCTTCAAGCATGTAAATCACACGATAAGTAGCGGATTTCAACATTCTTAATCACATCGCACTGAACAGTTACTAAATTTGTCTATCGCATCATTAAACTTATAAGTAAACACGATTTTTATTAAAAAGTATTAAATACGTGTTTAAAGGCTCTGTAACTATATTCTAAATACATTAGTCATGTATAACAAAACAGAATACAGAATGAATGTTCATGACAGAATATAAATATTTGCTTGTTTGAAGTGAGACAAATGTCAACAAAAAATAACACCCACTTCTTGTTCTTTAATATTAATATATTGTTATCAATACATTACATCGGGTACCTTAGTAACAATTTGAGTCATTTATTGTTTAAAGTCACACATATAACTTGTCTTATCTATTTACATATTCTAGGATATATCCCATTCATTAAGGGGAGAGGGCGGTGAAAAATCACTCCCCGCCCCCCTACCCACACCAAAGACAAGCAGCATTGTTTTCGTTCTTATATGAAAAATACAGCGAATCTACTAAATATCACGCCAGTCATATGTTTTATTCCATTTTCCCTGCTTCTTTTCCTAAAATCTCTCGACACACTAATGGACCCTTTGCTGAAACCTACCTCGTTAAGAAGTGAATTGGCATTCTCATGAGCCTAGAAGAATATAAAGAACATTTACCACTGAATCATACTCCCATTTCCCTTTCTTTGAGAGTGCGTGATGTATGTGACCCAAGATGGGTACGTAGGGCGGCGTTTGCACACCCCGCGATGCCCAGTAACTGTGCCGCCATTTCGAATACACCAAAAGCGTAGCCACTGCCACGCACACCAACGCCAGCGTCACGAGGCTCATCCTGTGTTGTTGCTTCTGCTTTTTCAGCCATGAAATGAAAACCAGTAGAATTTTATTATTCTTATATCGTTCTTTGTATTTATTTCATGTGATAGAAGAAGCTCATCATCTTTCTGCTGAATAATTAAAAATTAACTTTTATAATGTGATTTGAGGATAATCGACAGTGGCCATTAGTCTTGAATCATTTTTTAAATAATTTACCATTCATGTAATAAAGAAAGAAAAAACTGATCCTGAAAATAACAGTTTTTACATCAAGCCATTAACTACGAGGGGCAAACTTAATCTGCATCGAGCACCTGATACATTTGAGGTTATCACTATACTGTCTGCATGAACCCTCTGCCACTTGTATATAAGTACATAGGTAAGTTCTTACTTGCTGTCTAACCTTAACTGTAACACTTTCATCTCTCCTACATTATAAATTATGTGTGTCTGTGTAGCGTATGTGTGTGTGCATGCGTGTACATGTATTTAGACAGATACCTAAACTGTGAAAATTAACAAATATACTCTCACGGGCGTGCAAATACTCTCTTCCAAACACTGAATTCCTCTCATACTTTCAGAGGATGATGTACTAAGAGAAAGTTTCCCGTGGAGTAATACACATAGATATATACTCATAACTTTACCTTAGGCTGTGGCTTTAGGGAAACGCGTGGAGTCTTTGCCTCAGTATCTGGCTAAGGTTGAAGTCAACCTGTGATAATATACTGCAATTTTAGCCAGTCATGTTGAATTGCATTTCTGTTATCGGCTATAAAAAAAACTCAAATAGCTTTTTCTATGTAAGTTGGCTGCATTATGTTCTATATATTTCATTCAGTATATTCTAATTCATATGTAACGTTTTCTTTTAAATGTGATTGTTGAGCGTCTCATGGACTCTTGCTTTAAGGTGCAGCGATAAGTCAACACACACACACACACACACACACACACACACACACACACACACATAATGCACACAACACACACACCACACACCACACACACACACACACACACACAACACATACCTGCACAAACACACACACACCACACACACACACACACACACACATACATACACAAACACACACACACACACACAAACACACACACACACACACACACACACACACAATATATATATATATATATAATATATATATATATATATATATATATATATATGTGTGTGTGTGTGTGTGTGTGTGTTTATATATGTGTGTGTGTGTGTGTGTGGTGTGTGTGTGTGCATATGAATGTATGTATGTGTGTATATGTATATAGTATAATATATATATGAATATATATATATATATATATATATATTATATATATATATATATATATATATATATATATATATATATTATATATATGAATACACACACACATACGCACACACACACACACATATATATATATATATATATGTACATATATATATATATATATATATATATATATATATATATATATATATATATATATATATGAATGTGTGTGTATATACTGCATATATATATGAATATATATATACATATATGTACATATATGTACATATATCATATATATGAATATATATATATAAATATTTATTTATTTATCTATTTATTTATTTATATGAATCTGATAAAATATGTGTGTTTGCATGAATGTTTGTGTGTGTGTGTGTGTGCGTGCGCGTGGGTGCGTACGTGTTTGCGTGAGTGAGAATGTGTGTGTTTGTGTGTGTGTGTGTGTGCGTGGGTGCGTACATCTTTATGTAAGTGAGAGAGAGAGAGAGCGAGAGAGTGTGTGTATGTGAGTGAGTGTGTACTGGTATATGTATATTTAGAAAAAGGTTAACACAGTATCATTTTACTACATATATTAGAACCAAAGTAGAAAACTTTAATTTAATATTTGACTTTAATTATTACTCTTGAACATGGATTGTAAACCATAGACCAATATAAAGAGCCAACAAGGTTATTTAAATACAAAGTAATTCTTTAATTCTTTCATTGGTTGTGATGTAAAAATAAATACATTCCTTTAACGAAAAAAATTGTGTCCCTTATTTTTCTAACATGTCTTTGAATTCATATGTTTAACAAATTCTTACCATCACCAAATTTGATGTGCAATGTGATGTAAATAGGTTAATCTAAACCAAGAGTCACGGTCAAGCTTACAATGATATTGACACTGCACATTCAGAACATTTGCATTTATAAACGTCTAAAAATAAAAATTTACAAAACAGGCCTACCCTAATTCAGATAAAGAAAAATGAACAAACATGGAGTTAAATACCAACGTCAAAATATACTTTAACTTATTATCCGGAAGTCAGTATATTATTACATAAATAAACAGGGCAAAATTAACACTGCAAGACGCCATCCCGTAGAAATGGCCTTCCAACGCACGAACAGGAGGATCTCGCGCTGGTGTTTGGTTAGTGAATACTTAAATCAACACGGGTGTGACCGACGGAATGGTGGGGCGGGAGGTCGTCGTAGTCGTCTCAACTGCGCCTCCTCCTCCTCCTCCTCCTCCTCCTGCTCCCCCGCTGCCGCTCCACGACCCTCCTGCTGAACCACTCCAGGAACCGCTGCCGCCCCATGATCCCCCGCCTGAGCCAGCCCAGGAACCACTGCCTGACCAAGAACCTCCTGAATTTCCACTGCCTGCGCCTCCTGTGGCTCCCCCACTGCCTCCTACTTGTCCGCCCGATGAGCCCCCATCACCAGCTCCTCCTGTGGCTCCTCCGCTGCCTCCCACTTGTCCTCCCCATGAATTTCCATCACCAGCACCACCTGTGGCTCCCCCACTGCCTCCCACTTGTCCTCCCGATGAGCCACTATCACCGGCTCCTCCTGTGGCTCCTCCACTGCCCCCAAATTGTCCTCCCCATGAGCCCCCATCACCAGCTCCTCCACTGCCTCCCACTTGTCCTCCCCATGAATTTCCATCACCAGCACCGCCTGTGGCTCCTCCGCTGCCCCCAAATTGTCCTCCCCATGAGCCCCCATCACCAGCTCCTCCTGTGGCTCCTCCGCTGCCTCCCACTTGTCCTCCCCATGAATTTCCATCACCAGCACCTCCTGTGGCTCCCCCACTGCCTCCCACTTGTCCTCCCGATGAACCCCCATCACCAGCACCTCCTGTGGCTCCTCCACTGCCCCCAAATTGTCCTCCCCATGAGCCCCCATCACCAGCTCCTCCTGTGGCTCCTCCACTGCCTCCCACTTGTCCTCCCCATGAATTTCCATCACCAGCACCGCCTGTGGCTCCTCCGCTGCCCCCAAATTGTCCTCCCCATGAGCCCCCATCACCAGCTCCTCCTGTGGCTCCTCCACTGCCTCCCACTTGTCCTCCCGATGAACCCCCATCACCAGCACCTCCTGTGGCTCCTCCGCTGCCTCCCACTTGTCCTCCCCATGAATTTCCATCACCAGCACCTCCTGTGGCTCCTCCGCTGCCTCCCACTTGTCCTCCCCATGAATTTCCATCGCCAGCACCTCCTGTGGCTCCTCCGCTGCCTCCCACTTGTCCTCCCGATGAGCCACCATCACCAGCACCGCCTGTGGCTCCTCCGCTTCCCCCAAGTTGTCCTCCCCATGAGCCCCCATCACCGGCACCTCCTGTGGCTCCTCCACTGCCTCCCACTTGTCCTCCCGATGAACCCCCATCACCAGCACCTCCTGTGGCTCCTCCACTGCCTCCCACTTGTCCTCCCCATGAATTTCCATCACCAGCACCTCCTGTGGCTCCCCCACTGCCTCCGACTTGTCCTCCCGATGAACCCCCATCACCGGCTCCTCCTGTGGCTCCTCCGCTGCCCCCAAATTGTCCTCCCCATGAGCCCCCATCACTGGCCCCTCCGACGGCACCTCCACTACCCCCTGCTTGGCTTCCCCATGAATTTCCATCACCAGCTCCTCCTGTAGCTCCACCACTGCCCCCGACTTGGACCCCCCGAACCACAGATATCACAAACTCCGGCCCCATGAATTTCCATCACCAGCACCGCCTGTGGCTCCTCCGCTGCCCCCAAATTGTCCTCCCCATGAATTTCCATCACCAGCACCGCCTGTGGCTCCTCCGCTGCCCCCAAATTGTCCTCCCCATGAGCCCCCATCACCAGCTCCTCCTGTGGCTCCTCCGCTGCCCCCAAATTGTCCTCCCCATGAATTTCCATCACCAGCACCGCCTGTGGCTCCTCCGCTGCCCCCAAATTGTCCTCCCCATGAATTTCCATCACCAGCACCGCCTGTGGCTCCTCCGCTGCCCCCAAATTGTCCTCCCCATGAGCCCCCATCACCAGCTCCTCCTGTGGCTCCTCCGCTGCCCCCAAATTGTCCTCCCCATGAGCCCCCATCACCAGCTCCTCCTGTGGCTCCTCCGCTGCCCCCAAATTGTCCTCCCCATGAGCCCCCATCACCAGCTCCTCCTGTGGCTCCTCCACTGCCTCCCACTTGTCCTCCCCATGAGCCCCCATCACCAGCTCCTCCTGTGGCTCCTCCACTGCCTCCCACTTGTCCTCCCCATGAATTTCCATCACCAGCACCGCCTGTGGCTCCTCCGCTGCCCCCAAATTGTCCTCCCCATGAATTTCCATCACCAGCACCTCCTGTGGCTCCTCCACTGCCTCCCACTTGTCCTCCCGATGAACCCCCATCACCAGCACCTCCTGTGGCTCCTCCACTGCCTCCCACTTGTCCTCCCCATGAATTTCCATCACCAGCACCTCCTGTGGCTCCTCCACTGCCTCCCACTTGTCCTCCCCATGAATTTCCATCACCAGCACCTCCTGTGGCTCCTCCGCTGCCTCCCACTTGTCCTCCCCATGAATTTCCATCACCAGCACCTCCTGTGGCTCCTCCGCTGCCTCCCACTTGTCCTCCCCATGAATTTCCATCACCAGCACCGCCTGTGGCTCCTCCGCTGCCCCCAAATTGTCCTCCCCATGAGCCCCCATCACCAGCTCCTCCACTGCCTCCCACTTGTCCTCCCCATGAATTTCCATCACCAGCACCTCCTGTGGCTCCCCCGCTGCCTCCGATTTGTCCTCCCGATGAACCCCCATCACCAGCACCTCCTGTGGCTCCTCCGCTGCCCCCAAATTGTCCTCCCCATGAGCCCCCATCACTGGCCCCTCCGACGGCACCTCCACTACCCCCTACTTGGCTTCCCCATGAGCCCCCATCACTGGCCCCTCCTGTAGCTCCACCACTGCCCCCGACTTGGACCCCCGAGCCACTGCCACAGATATCACAAACTCCAGATTTGGAGTCTGCATCATGCCTTGGCTTGTTAGACAGCGAAATACTAGACCCAGAGCCAGGCTTATTCGATGACGAAATGCTTGAATCAGAGCCGGGCTTGTTAGATGTGGACCCACTGAAACCGGGGCCGGGTTTGTTTGATGTTGAAATATCGGAATCACTGCCAGGTTTGTTTGATGTTGAACCGTCTAAGCCAAAACCAGGTTTGTTTGACGTCGAAGTATCTGAGCCAAATCCAGGTTTGTTTGACGTCGAAACATCTGAACCAGAACCAGGTTTGTTTGACGTCGAGACATCTGAACCAGAACCAGGTTTGTTTGAAGTCGAAGTATCTAAGCCAAAACCAGGTTTGTTTGACGTCGAGACATCTGAGCCAAAACCAGGTTTGTTTGATGTTGAACCGTCTA